CATTGTATATGTGATGGAGAGGTTTAGTGGAGAGAGAGAGAGAGAAAGAGAGCAAAACTGATGAAATTTTAAAAGTTCTTGTATTCACTTTAAGTGTAATTTAATTTTATGCTAAAAATATTCAAATTTTTGTCAAACATTACATTCATTTAACGTTTTCTTTTATATTCCACTAAATTATTCGCTAAAATATCTTTAAATTTATTATTAATTTCTATCATTTCATTCATTTATCAAAACATATTATAAATGAAAATTTTAATTAAAATAAGCATAAAATGTATAATTATTGTAGCGTTAAATAATAATTGTAAACCAATGGTTGAATGGCATACCATTAAAACATAAAACTTTACGTTAAATTTGATTGATTTGTATTGTATTTATATTGTATTATTATGTTATATGCGCTAAATACTGGATTGTGATTTATTTTACTAATATTAAATATTATAATTAAATAGGTTTATTACTGACAGTATTACATGATATGACAATATTATTATGTTACAATAATTATTGAAACATATTTCCCTATATTTTACCAAAAATAAAACAACACTAAATTGTAAGAATCCATAGAATATTCTGTATATTTAAAAAAAACTATAAGAATTTCGCAAAAACACATAAATTTTTGTATAGATTATTGTATTATAATTGCAAATATTAACTAAATGCGAGGTCAGTCTAAAAGACCCCACAAAAACAACAATAATAAAAACTGTGTTATTTTACCTTAGTTTTGGTGGTGTCAGAGAGCCAATGCTCCCTCTCGGCAGTCAGTAATTTACATAGATTTGACGTTATTTATTTCCGGTACGCGAATATTATTGCACAAAATATCATGGTCATAATGATTGCGTGTGACATAGTCTGTGTCACATAGTATACAAAAAGTAGTTTTATATTCATAGTGTCGTATGGGTTATAGACAGCGCATAAACACACCACAGAATATTCTGCTGCCCGACAATAATATACTTAATTAATTAACACATATATTATTATATAGTGAAAGTAATAGGTGTGATAAATTGCAACATGGTTGTACGCACACACAGAGAGTTATCATATTCAAATGTGCTAGTGATGTTTTACGCGTTAAATCCCGTGTCATAACACTTTTGGCACTAATATTGCCGATGGAGTTTGGTTTAGGGGCGCATTTATAGCTTACATGTGTAATGCTTGTTCTACACTGTGTAATAATCTAATGAGCACCTGGGTGATTATCAGACACTGCACTATGATATAGTCCTATGATTAAATGTATATCACGGTAGGTATGTATGCGGTCTGTAGTGTGCGGAGCACTTGGAGTGAATGGCACCACTAGTTTTTTGGGCATACCATACACTGCATAACACAATACATACTGTATAAGTATAAGTTATACTGTATAACACATAACAAACAGCACATAACATATAAATAAGAAATTGTATGATACACTAAAGTTACCTTTAAATATACAGCAAAAAATGTATTGATTGTAATTTGCAGTGTATTATATCGAAGGCACCGATAGTCATGCGCTTTCACATATGCCTTGTGCTCACAAACCTAATGAACAGGAAAGCTCAGAGCTTAAAAAAAACCCCGGTGCTTAACACTCCATTATTTCCTAAATTATGATTATGTTTGTAACTGTATTTTATCACAAACAAGATAAGTTTATTACAATTCTAATATTATCATGTATATAGTTATGGCTTTTGTATGAGCAAACCAATGCCCATTCGTATAACATGTATAAAGCAATAAAACGCCGACCCATTGATTAGATATGGAATCAAATGTAATGTTCTCTCGATTATGTTTTCGTAAACAGAATATTCTGCGAAACCAATTCTTATCACACAAATGGATGCTTTAATCTTTCTTACCGTAATGTAAATTCTGCAAATATATCACTGTTATCATTGTTAATAAATGTGATGTTATTGAACTTGATTTAATTGATTGCTCGATAAGATTATTTAATATATCATGATATTGATATCAAATAAATATTACATTTAATCTCATGGTAATTTGTAAATTATTAATAAAATATACTTTATTTATAGTTAAAATAGACAGTTATATAAACAGTATTTAATTTTTTTTAAAACATTAACGTTATTTAAGTTATAATAAGTTACAATAATTTATAATGTCAAAACAATTAAAGCTCTACCATTATAAGCTGAACTTTTTTGATAAATAAAATAACAACAATATAACGAGGTTTTATTGAATTACTTTTAATGATTTGATTTTTTAATAGATAAGAGTTTTTTTCATTGAGTTGGCGGCGATCCCTTTGACTCACATGTTGGCGACCAGTGTTTCACACTTCACTGAACACAATGAGTAAGGATTAGTGTTATTCATTGAATGCATTGCTAATCACTGGTCGCCAGCATATGAGTCAAAGTTGAACATCAAATCATCGCCGGACTCAATGAAAAAAAAAACTCTTATCTATTAAAAAATCAAATCATTAAAAGTAATTCAATAAAACCTCGTTATATTGTTGTTATTTTATTTATTAAAAAAGTTCAGCTTATAATGGTAGAGCTTTACTTATTTTCAAATAAAATAAAACTTTATTCACATAAATATTGACTTTGAATATTTAAGCCAAAAAATAATCAAAAGTGTTATTGAGTGCCAAATGACATACCTTTCCTCTCTTATTGAGTGTCAGTTTGACATCTCTTTGACATTTCAAAAGATCCATCGCTTCCGATATGTCCTCTATTTTAATCACTTTATGGCCATTAATAGCTGTAATCACATCAAACATTTATTTCCTAAATTATGATTATGTTTGTAACTGTATTTTATCACAAACAAGATAAGTTTATTACAATTCTAATATTATCATGTATATAGTTATGGCTTTTGTATGAGCAAACCAATGCCCATTCGTATAACATGTATAAAGCAATAAAACGCCGACCCATTGATTAGATATGGAATCAAATGTAATGTTCTCTCGATTATGTTTTCGTGAACAGAATATTCTGCGAAACCAATTCTTATCACACAAATGGATGCTTTAATCTTTCTTACCGTAATGTAAATTCTGCACATATATCACCGCATTGTTAATAAATGTGATGTTATTGAACTTGATTTAATTGATTGCTCGATAAGATTATTTAATATATCATGATATTGATTTATTACATTTAATGTCATGGAAATTTGTAAATTATTAATAAAATATACTTTATTTATAGTTAAAATAGACAGTTATATAAACAGTATTTAATTTTTTTTAAACATTAACGTTATTTAAGTTATAATAACTTATTATTAATAAGTTACAATAATTTATAATGTCAAAACAATTACTTATTTTCAAATAAAATAAAACTTTATTCACATAAATATTGACTTTGAATATTTAGGCCAAAAAATAATCAAAAGTGTTATTGAGTGCCAAATGGCATACCTTTCCTCTCTTATTGAGTGTCAGTTTGACATCTCTTTGACATTTCAAAAGATCCATCGCTTCCGATATGTCCTCTATTTTAATCACTTTATGGCCATTAATAGCTGTAATCACATCAAACACTTCTATATCACCGCTAAAAACAATTCAAGTATCATATTATTGTACATCTAATACAAAGTAATTAAAATAAAAATATGTATTTAATATTTTTAATACCAAAAGTCAACGTTTGTGTCGTCAATGATCTCCCAAATGATAATCCCATCGCCTTCTGGCAGATAATCCGTGTCCTCCACTATATCTGCCAACTCTTGCCTAACACTGGAGTCAAACCAATATATAATAAGTCCGATCTCTTGTTCGCATTCTTCGAGACTCACATCGATTTTAATTGATTTCTCCAAAAAATCTGCATTAATTGCAAGACATTGTAATCATTGATAAATTCAATACAATATAAACTTCTGAAACAAACAATACTTTGAAACTCATTAAAAGGAAGACAAAAATGTTTGTTCAGCGAAAGTGTCACTAAATTGATTCCCAATACATGTCCGGAGCTGTTGACGAGTGCACCGCCCCTAACGATAGGCGCCGTGTGTTTAATGCCATTCTTCACCGCAAACTCTTTGGGATCCGTATTCATAGAAGAGTCACTTTTTGGCAAAGAAATAATGAGACCATCAGTGATAGTGTTGTGATAATCCAAGACATGGCTTCCGACCGCAAACACCGTGTCATTTGTCTGAAGCGTCGACCCATTCTCAGCAAATGTTACGGTTTTCCAGTCGTCCCGAAGACCACACATTTTAATGACAGCCAATCTCTTGTCCGCTGCGCTCTCTTCGCTATCTTTGTCCGCAACTCTTCCCACAACTTCTCGTCCATCACTTAATCTGATCCAAACAGTGGTGTATTTGTCCACAACTGATGCCTCAGTCAATACATAACCCTTTGAATCAAATATGAAACCTAAGCCCAAGACTTTGGATCCATTGTTATAGCCTTTTGGCGTATTTTTTAGATTAATCTTCGTAAAAAACGGGCGAATTGTGACAAATGAATGAAACCATAGATTACTGAATGGTTTGACTGGCGTTTCATCCGAAGTGTCCAACAATTGTGTATTTCTTATGGGAAATCGTTTGTTCACTTCAATTGGTGTGCAATACATGTGTCTAATATTTGATGTAATTATTGCCACAAATGGTATCCTTTTATAAAAATATTAAATTTTGTATAAATTAAATTTAGATAAACTTACACTTACTTTACGACACAATTAATCAAAACTTTTCTTAAATTAAACATAAATTATATTTTTAATTAATATATATCAAAAGATTTTCTTTGTAAACATTGCGCAAGAATTGCCAAAAGTCAGAGACAATAATGGTTTTTGATTTAATTGATTAATTTTTTAACCGAGATTTAAAACTCGCGCTCACTGTGTGTGTTGAATGAGACATACATAACGTAGATTTGGTACTATTTTATACTCATATGGCATATCGTATATGAGTATAAAATGGGGCCAAACCTACGACAATAAATTCAACGACTTTTCAATCAAAACTGGAAATGAATTCAAAAATAAGTTGTCTTTGAGTTTGAAGTGAAGTCTATTTGAAATGTTTTTTGTATTCATTTTCATCACAAGAATTGACTTTAAATTAAATTTTGAATTGATTTTGTGGTAAAAATAGCGAAAACGTATTCTTAGGACTCTTTGGATCAATTGTGTGTTGTGTTGTGTTTTGCCATTCATTTCATTCATTATTATTCATTCAATTTTGTGGTAAAAATGTGTGAAATATAGAGAAAGTGAAGAAAGAGTTGGCATTCAATCCAATCATCACTTCATTCAACAAATCAATGCTTTTTTCGATTACTTTTTATCACAAGAAATGACTTTTAATTGAGTTGTGAATTGATTTTGTGGTAAATTGTGTTGTGTTTTGTTGTGTTGTGTTGTGCTGTCTATTGATTGTCTTTTTTTGGCATCACTTCAGAGACCAACTCTTCTTCTCATCATTTCAGACATTATTTGCATTCAATTGTTGTTTGTATTTAACACTCAATCACTTCATGTGATCTCAGTTTGTGTCTCATATATAACTCTTCGGCCACTGTTTGGACACTTTGTATCGGAACAGCTCTTTGATCGACAAATAAGACAATAGTTGACACAAATAATCACCGAATCTATCCAAAGGTTAGTGTTTATTGTTTTGTGTTAGTGAGTGCTGAGAGTGTATTGTTTGAGTGTATAGTGTACTGTATGAGTGTATAGTGTACTGTATGAGTGTATAGTGTACTGTATGAGTGTATAGTGTACTGTATGTGTGTTACAATTTAACTCATTGTAATTTTTACGATTAGGAGCGGGTCTGGCGTTTGTGGCCTATCCGGAAGCGGTGTCCCGATTGCCGATCTCTCCCCTGTGGGCTATACTGTTCTTCTTCATGCTATTGACGTTGGGTTTGGGCACTCAGTTCACACTCATCGAGACCGTAGTGACGACGATAGTGGACACGTGGCCCGACAAGTTCCGCCACCGGAAGCCGTTTGTGTTGGCCTGTACCTGTATGTTCATGTTCTTGACCGGGCTATTGATTTGCACGAAGGCCGGCATGTATATACTTCAGCTCATGGACAACCATTGCGCCAGGTACATTATCTCTACATAGTTGGAATCCAACTGTTGGATTGCCTAATACCTGATCCCAATTGGTTGGTATGTCTAATGTGTTTGTTATGATCTCGTTGTGAATGTTTGTACAGTTTCTCCGCTCTGATCATCGGTTTGGTGGAAGTGGTGGCCATCGCGTGGGTCTACGGAGTTGACCGCTTTTTGGACGACATGAAGATAATGTTAGGCCACTATCCATTTCATCGGTTATACTGGCGTACGCTCTGGAAGTTTGTCTGTCCCGGACTTATCATCGTATGGATTGATAACAAATTAAAATATCTAATGTTAACAAGTTATAAATACATTGATATTTATTGTATTTAGTTTATATTATTCTTCTCGCTCCTGGAGATGAAACCGGCCTCTTATGGCGATTATGTGTACCCGTGGTGGGCATCCGTCATAGGCTGGGGGCTATCGCTAATATCGGTGTCGGCCATACCTTTGGTTGCCATCATGAAAATCAATGAACTCCGGGGCCCTATCCTTCATGTGAGACATTTATTTTGTTTATTTAAATTCAAACACAAATATTTATTTAAATTTATTACATATTTTTCAAATACTTAATAACAAATTTAATTTACCCTTGCGGCAATTCAGTAACCATATCTATACTGTTTTGCTCATAAATCTAGTTTATTGTTATCATTAATAATTTATCACTTAAAACCATTATGATATTAAATTAATTGTTTTAACATTTTGCTTATAGCGCATAAAAGTGTTGATGCGTCCCACGTCTGACTGGTATGTGTCCATTGAATCCATCAATTTGTATGAATATTAATTAATGATTGATTAATTGTGTGCTCTCAGGGGTCCTAAACTGCAATTACATCGGATGGAGACCCACAGCCCTAAGCATACGGACAGTCAGGTGCCGCTCCGATACGACGCCGACAACGACAGCAACGATAGCACCGATGACTTGAAGATCAACGGCAAAGACAACTACATAATGGCCGACGAGCCCAGCGATAGTGACACCGGTTTGCGGTTAAAACTTCCTTTATATCACTCCGAGACTGGACTCTAGTATTCAATTGATTTTTTTCAATCGGCAAAAAGGGTTGTGGGGTTTGGCGTCTAATCTAATAAATTAGGTCTAAATTGTGATTTAAAATATATATAATTAATGATTGAACACATGTTTTATAAATATATTCATGTAATTTGTATACAGACTTACAGTTATAATTATGATATGAGATATTGATTTTGTTGTTTGTCAGTAGTTTTTCCCTTAATTTTGTTGTTTGTTTGAAAAGCGTTTAGTTTTTAAACGAAAAAGCTTTTCATTTAATCCATAATTGTTATTATGTTTTTCAATCTGTTTGTTAATTGACATCTCATTAGATATAATTATCACTTTATTTCTATCTCTATTATTATTATTATTATTACTATTCATTCGCCAAAGAATTGACGGCCAAATCATTTACGAAAACTAAATGATATATAAATTGTATATAAGTGTATAATTATGTTCTCTATATCACAAACACACCAAATATTTACACACAAACACATACCAATCAAACTGACCATCACTGGCGGGTCCGGCATTAAATTGTATTGCTTTTGATCTGATTGTGTGGTTTAAGCGCAAGAATATTCTTGTCGTTTGGATACGGAATATATGAAAATCTATATGAATTTCATAGCCGATTGGTTACCATCTATTGAAATGTTAAATAAACTCAATCACTGAAAGGCAGACAATTAGCAAAAGATATGACCGTCAAGTGATTGATATCGTCGCCTAATATCACCACAACTTCTTTAATTATCTCATCTGTGGTTAACTTCCAACGAAAAATAGAAAGACACAAACAGTACACATATTTTCTTGTAATATATAGACCAACACTAAAAGTATTACATTTTTTCAATGAACGGATTTAAATGCCAATACATTTAATGATTTATTAAATTTTTGTTAAACACAATATACGTAATGACAAAATCTCTGATTTGCTCTCAATTTTATTTTGAATGTAATGTTTGTTTTAATTTAATTTAATGACCAAAATATATATACATTATTATTATATAAATATATTAAACAATAAATTTTTTATAGGTTTCTGATTGTAATGAAACAATTGATATAAAAAGTGTTTTTTGTAGACCACTAATGGAAATGAAAGTTTTTAAAATGAGAAATATTTGTTTGTTTTTCTCAATTATATACTGAAAGACAGCGAAAGAAAATTGTTACACAAATGTATTGATCATATTGTTAGTGATTTTCATGTATACAATCGGTTTTGAGTGTTTTATAGTTAATAGTATTGAAAACAATAATAATTATAATAGTAATCACTATTACTATTAAATATATTATTATTGTGATGTCGATTGAGAGGCAGCTCTTCCTAATCAATGGTATAATAATTTTAAAAAACCAAAATTACAATCCGTTAAACACAGTATACTATCCTTTGATTATCAAAGTTTGATATGTATTTAAAAACACATACAAAATATAAATATAAAACACAATAAGAAGTATTTAATTAACATAATTTGACTGTATTTGTGAGGCATAACTAACTACACAAATAAACCTATTGTAGTGATTGATGAATAGCATAATCTTATCGGTGCCTCGTCTTTAAACCATATATGTTATATTTAAACACAATTTAAATTACAATTAGATTTATAAATACATATAATATGTGAGATTCAGTCATGTGTTGTATACGAAGCTCTCTCTCTCTCTCTCTCTCTCTCTCTCTCTCTCTCTCTCTAAAATACAGGTAAAACCTTTTAATTTAAATTATTTTAGTTTATTTAGACTTTGAATACAGTCAAAAATTTATCCCCAATGAAAACACACACAAAGACGACAATAGGGCTGAACATTAAAATTCAATTTTAATTCAAAAACATTTTTTTCTCGTAAATTATTAACCAAAGAAAAAGCCGAAAATATAACTGAAAACATATTTGCCGTCAAAAATAAGTCAATAACTTTAATCTCAATGAAAGACTTGATTTCATTACATAACTATATTATATATTTATCTATACCTGTAATGAGAGTTCAATATTCTCTCAATTATGATATATTTTATACATTTTGAAGCAAACAAAAAATATTTTGGCCAATTTCTCAACCAATTAATTATGCATTTATTCATAACAATAGCCGTATTTCTCATGTAATAATGCCTTTGAACACGAAGTTTCTCTCATTGAGGATAGGATTTACAATCATTTTATTTCTCCAGAAGTTAACAAAAAATAAAAATACACACAAAAGGAGTTTCACAAAAAAACACAAACTTAAAAGTATTTCTTATATTTCGGATGAATGTTATTGAGATGAAAAATATCTTAAATAAATAGCACCAGTGAAAAATGACAACAACAATAGTTTATAGAGTTTAAGACCTAAAGTATAATTAACCCAGTTAATCTACAGTATTACAATTTATCCAGTTGCATCAGGGTACTCTAACCATAGATTATAGACGTAGACCACTCAAGCAGACAATACCCATACAAAACCCCATTAATAGATATCTCAAATCCATTGGTAGAAACACCGACACCGAAAACAAACGCCAAGTGCTCCCCGTTTTTTGTATGAGATATAACTTATTATATTATATATACATATTGTATAACCGTTTTATTAATAGTGAGATTTTACTGTAAAAAAGACACAACAAATAATAATAGTCCACACTTTATGTAAGACTACAATACATACACATTAATATATACACCGATTCCCGTGTGTAACACAATTTTGTCGGGAATTTCCTAAACCGATAGCCCTATGAAAGGACAGGAAACGGGTGGTGACAGTAGGAGGGGAGGGGAACAGCGGTTCCCTGTGTTTGATAACCCCTTTGACGGGTCAGTCAGTATTGTTAAAAAGTAAGGGAAAGCGCAGCCCATTGTCTGGCACTCCGGAGACTACCTTTCCGTTACACTTATGTAACCATTGTTTGTATTGTATGAGAAGAAAGTGTCATCAGATATGTTATCGATTATATGATTGATATGCAAAAGGTATGCCAGGGATTGGGTCTCTCGGGTCAGGGCTTATGATTTTGTAGACATGGTATAAGATGTTATACATCGTTGAAAGTATCGGAGAAATTGTGTTTTCATTTTGTTAAATTGCTCAGAGATATGATTATGTAATTAAATAATTAAATACATGTATAATAATTAATTTAAAATATAATATTATATGAAGAAACAATATGATTATTGTTGTGCCTCAACACACATACATTGCAAACATATAACACATACATTTTCAATACTAGATTATAATTACAATTTCGTTTATCATTTAGATTCTCTCTCTCTCTCTCTCTCTCTCTCTCTCTCTCGAAATAATTAATTTATAGAGATTTTCCCACTTTTAAATAGACACACGATTTCCTCAATAAACAAACCAAACATCTCTCTCTCTCTCTCTCTCTCTCTCTCTCTCTCTCTCGAAATAATTAATTTATAGAGATTTTCCCACTTTTAAATAGACACACGATTTCCTCAATAAACAAACCAAACAATAAAACTAATGATCATTAAAAAACTTTGAAGACATCACAAGAATAATGTATTTCTTACTTTCATTTCTTACATAACAATTATAATCACACTTTGATTTTTCTCTCTGTGTTAAGTCATCCGGGCTTTTGATTCCCCATACAATGTATGGCATATACTGTACCGTATAAACAGACTATACTGTACTTTAGTGTGAATTTTATAGAAATTATATTCAAATATCTGTTTATGTTTTGAGTTTTATATTACGAATAATTAATTATTAATTAATTGTGTTTTTAGTTTTATTATTATAATTACAATTATTTATCATTTGCTGTCAAAACATATATACATTTACTTATTAATGATATTATAATTCACTGTTTTTGAAATATAACAAAAAAGTAGTCGAATTCTGGTTTATAACTGTATTATAAGGTATTTTTAAAATGTTTTAAATTCAGTATTTAATTGACAACAAAATTGACTAAATTATAACAAACTTATTGTAAAATGTAATTCAAATTATTACCTAAAAGTTAGAGATTTGAACACAAATTTTTTGATTTTTATAAAAGTAATTATTAGACAATATGTTCCCGTTTATGAATATTAAGATAATATATCACTTTTTACTTAAATTTACAGAAAATTTTAGCTAATTTTATTACTAAATTAATGATCTGTTAATTATAGACTTTTAATTATATGTTAAAAGATATAGACATTAATTATCCGTAATTACCAAACAGTTTATAACAAAATTAGATTAAAAACTGTTTGTTAAAAATCTCTTTATTTCAAATGCATTGTTGAGTACTTTAAACAAAATTGAAATTTAATTTAAACCAACCCTGGTGCTTATGTCATCAAAAATTGTTTTATAACCATAAATCAATAATTATTCAATTAAATTAATGGCATCGAAATACTAAATGCATTATAAAAATTGTTTATTTTGCTTACTTTTAAAGCCATTTCATAATTGTTATTATAATTTTAATATTCAATAATAAGTTTTCTTTTGTAAAACATAGGAAACAAATTGAAATGAAATGAAGAAACAAATAATTATTTTTACAAAAAACAAGTGATCGTCAAAACGGTCGACACTTTTTATGTAATGGTTTTTTGATATAATGAAAGAATATTCTGTAAAATTTTATGATATGAAAGACATTTCAACCAAAAACTACAAGACATTGATTTGTAGCCAAATATTTGGCACTCAATTGATTGAAAACTGATTGTAAAAAATTTGTTTCATTTTTTAAAATTAAAACTCAAAATTGTATTATTTCTCAAAATTATTAATAATGTTATTTAATTATTATTTAAATCGATTTCCAATTTTTGTAATTAAATTTCCTATAATATTGTGATTATAATTATTTATAATTTACAAACAAAAAACACTGAAAACATTTTATAATAAGTTTTTATTTGTTGTTTACGACTAAACAAAACAAAACCGATAATTATAACGAAATAAATAAAAATAAAATTGTTTCACAAAACTTACTGTCAATTAAGAGATTAAAAAACAAATAAAAAAGTTAATCATAAAATGAAATTTAAACCAAAAGTAAATTTAAACAAATAAATGTAAAAACATTAAAAACAAACAAATCTTAATGGAAACTAAATCAATAAAAGTCTGTTTGACCCGCAAATTAAAGTGCATTTTATTTATTAATATTTATTTATTAATTAAATAACTATTTTCTCAAAAACACTTAATTATATGTTAGTTATAACTAAAAGATATATAAATGTTATATTTTTTCAACAAAATTGTTTTCCTGATTGATAGGTGATAGGGAGGGAAGGAGAGAGAGAGAGAGAGAGAGAGAGAGAGAGATTAACACAGTATTAAAATGTATCAAACAATACATGAAATACCAGTCCATGTGTGGGATAATTGGGTGTTATATAAATTGGATTGAGATGTTTGTGTGTCTAATGTGTACAATAACCCAAAAAATAAAATATTAATCCCGTTCACTAATACAGTAGTAATTTGTGTTTATTGCACACCAATATAACCGAAAAAGTTTTATCAATGTAAATTATATAAAATGTGGGTATTCTAACTATATCAAACCAAATGTGCCTGTTTTTGTTTTCTGGTCAGTTCGTTGGCACAAATGCCACCAAAAATTGGATTTTTGTAAATGTATACAAAACATGTGTATATCGTTATGCTCTTTGAGTTTGGCATCTCTTGTATAATATATTTTTTTATATTTTGGGGGCGTTTGAGACACACAAGTATTGTCTCTCAATCGCTATTCATTGTAAATATTTCTGGTAAACACAACACACTGTACGGCACAACCAGTAGTTCATGTGTGCCATCAAAAGAAGCAAATAATCGTAAGAATGGAGA